TGTCACTGTGTCTGACGTGGCACTGTGTCTGACATGGCACTGCTGACGTGTCACTGTGTCTGACGTGGCACTGCTGACGTGTCACTGTGTCTGACGTGGCACTGTACCAACTTGGAAATGCATGCAAAGGGGTGGATGGGAGGGAAGACGTAGGTAGGCAACCAACCCAACAATACTTTCCTCCGGCCCTAATCAACAGATAAAATAAAATAAAATAAAATAAAAAGAGGACTACTTCCTTTTTTTTTTTTTTTTTTTGTATATCTGTCGATCTATTATGAGTGAGATTTGTCAGAAGAGTACTATGAGCGAGATCTAGGCTAGGATTCCGCAAGTTTCGGCTTTCACAAAATGCGATCTTGAAATTTTTTTTTTTGCGAAATGGAGTAAAGATGCGATTTTCAGAAAAAGAACAAAATCCCGTTTCTGAGAATATGGCAATCTCCGAATATGCCTAACGCAATATTGGTAGGCTTCGCAAGATTTCGGTTTTCAGAAAAAAATTGCGAGATAGAATGGAAATTCGATTTTCAGAAAAGAATAATTTCGGTTTCCGAGAATATGACCACTTCTATCATTATCCCAATATGCCTAGAAAACGAAATACTAACCTCAGAAAATTTCAGCTATGTATGCGAAATATCAGAGAAACGAAATGCTACTATCGGGAATTTTCAGACAAAACGAAATGCGATTTATCAGAAATTTTCCGATATTTGTTACGTAAAAACGAAATACTAATATCAGAATTTTTCAGGTAGAACGAAATGCAAATATCAGAAATTTCAGATAGTTGTCGTGAGAAAAAAAAATTCAGAGATTTGACGAAGTCCTACTTGATTTACTAACGAGTAATCGATAGATCAAGCAAGCTGGCTATTTGATTGAGCGGGTCCTCTGAATGAGGGGTCCGCTCCGATACCAAACTGTTGCATACTGTAACGTGCAGACCAGAACAAGAACCGACCTCTCAATACAAAGTGTAAGGTAGCACAGCGGAAGACTTAGATACCAATGATCCGAACAATCAATATTCCAATGCAGCCCTGAACATACATCATCATCATCGTTACCTGGTGTGAATGGGGTCTGGCGCTTCACACAGGAAGACTGCGCCAGCCCCCTATCATACACAGACGAAGGAGATGGGGGTTTAGACGAAGAAGAAGGGGGGGCAGATGGGAATGTCGTCAACACCAAGTCTTCGGCATAAGCCCAAATGGTCCCTCGTCGAAATGTCTGAATCCCAAATGTCAAGTCTGGATCCAATGTCGTCAAGTCTCAAGTCACAACTCTGTCTCTCTCTCTGTCGTAGTCTGAGAAGTCAGGAGCTCCATTATTATAACTTTATCTCAATAAACAGCTGTGAGAGTGCTGCATGCCTAATCGACATCTATCAGAACCAAGAACCGACCTCTCAGAAACAATACAAAAATAGTGCAGTGGAAGACTGAAATACCAAGATCTGACTCAGCAGGACCTGACTGCAAACATCATCACCGGGTGTGAGTGGACTCAGCGCAGCAAGCACAGAAGGTGCGCTGAGTCCGAATGCACACACACACGAAGATGGGGGAGAAGAGAAGAACCGAGGAGGAGATAGGGAGGATCAGCCACCATAGCCCTATGAAGAAGAAGAAGAAGAAGCTCCAGAAGGGAAGGAGGAGGAGCGATGGAGGACAGGATGGGAAAGAAGAAGAAGAAGAAATCCTCTCTCTCTCTCTCTCTTCTCTCTTCTCTCTCTCTCTCTCTCTCTCTCTCTCTCTCTCTCTCTCTCTCTCTCTCTCTCTCTCTCTCT